AACTACCCGTTTAAGTGTAGAACATATGTTAATTTTAGAATTATACAATACCTCTAATACTTCTTAATCGTTACCGCCCCCACAGATCCTAATATTCGATTAGAGTAGCTCACGAGTTGGCGGTGTGTGGTGTTACCTTCCCTCCAGTCTACCATTTTAAAGTTAGGGACGACTAGCGCAGACTGCCCTCTAGTACCTTTGCGCGAAATCCAACAAACAAACAAACATTCGTGTACGCCAACTTCCGCTTATTTAGTGAATTAATTTGTTGTTTGGATAAATATAATGCTTAAATTAATTAAACAGATGGTTCAAATAAGTGAATAAATTTAATGTTAACCCGGTAAAATAAATTATAAATTACAAGCAGATGCTCGTTAAAACAATTCAACGGTAATTTTAAAAATAGTAATGAATAAATGTAAAATGTTAATTCAACCCAATCCCTTGGATTGGAGCGTATATGCAATATGATTGTCTAGTGGGCCGTTTACAACCGTCTTTTGTCATTTCTTGTGTTATTTCAATAATGAAAATTGCATTGCGTATGCTTTTAAGCAAAGGAGACTGACTGTAATGCATTGTTGGCAAAAATGTTTTGGTTTCGATGCAATGGGTGCATCCAGTGCTCAGGCTCGCTAAGTAGCCGCGGTTATTTTTATTCGCTGGATGCCACCGTTACTTGTCATTTTACTGAGCGCAAGAAAAGGCCGCTGCCATTTAGAATTGAAAGCTTTTTGACAGTTTTCATTACTATAAGAAGTGTGAAAGGGGGAGATTCAATTCAAATCAATTTATTTGACGTGGTACAATAATATCATGCATGTATATAATACTGACAAACAAGAAATACGTATAAACCGTACAAGAACAAATACATACTCAAATGCGTTCTTCTCTTTATGCGCTTTTCCGTTCATGCTCCTATGTTCAAAATATTTATTTCAGTCAGTCAACGGAGGAAGTCCCGTTTGTTTTTTCGAGAAATTGTCTCACAAAAAGAAACATTTTGTTCTCAATAAGTTCTTTTTTCAGACTGACCGTTTACCACACACGAAGACTGGCGGATCGATGTTGATATCGATATGAAATTTTAGGAATTGCAAAAAATTAATTTTTAATAATAATAATTTTCCTGTACTGCACTTGGAAAAGAAGTATTTTGATATATATACATAATTATTTTTGTATGATTAACCGTTTAGGACGTACAGAGCGTGACAGACAGACACACATTTGGCTATTATATTATATATATAGTGAAAATGAATATTCTACTTTCTGTTAAAACGCGACTTTATTCTAACGCCAATCTACTTAAATATTAATTGTCCTAGGCCTAATTTCCACATATTGTAATGTCAGTCTACATAAATATTAATTGTCCTAGGCCTAATTTCCACATATTGTAATGTCAGTCTACATAAATATTAATTGTCCTAGGCCTAATTTCCACATATTGTAATGTCAGTCTACATAAATATTAATTGTCCTAGGCCTAATATTGACATCAGTCAACGTAAATTAACCTTTGAATTATTACAATCTTCTCTCTGTTTAATACGTCTTTAAATATCAACTCAAAGCTGTAGTCAAATTTATTGAGCCGTTACGTTTATCTATATTTAGATCCTAACTTCAAAATACTTCGTATTTTAACCGTCATTCCGTAAAGCAAATAAGACAGCAAGTGTTAATTCGATGAACACACTATTTTGAAGTAGTCAAACACTTCTTATAAACTTTAGTTTACGCCCATGTATGTATATATATATATATATATCTTATATTCCAGTAACTTATATGTCACTTAACTTTGTGGATAGAATGTGTTTTTTTCCTAGTTATTAGTCTAGAATACAAACTGCCTTAAGATAAAATAAGTAATAAAACACAATATTGAGATAAACACGGGTTTCTATAAATGTAAATAAAATATAGGTCGTGATTTTATTTACGTTTATAGAAATGTCTCATAATAAACTCCTGTTTGCGTTAAACAAAGTTAAGAAACAAGCTTATTTTAAATAACGATGTTTTGAGCAACATTAGATTTATTCAAACATAAAATAATTCACTGAATAAACAAACAAAAAATGGCGTATGCGAAGGTAGCCTACACGTTCATTTATCAAATCTGCCAAAACTGTGGCGGATTAACCAATGGTGGAGTTGCTACTGCCCACTTGCTTTGATTGACATGGCCGGGAAATATAAAAAAAGCACACGAGAAATGAAAATAAATAAATATAGCAATAAATGCATATATAAATATATTTTCATTATTTCTATCTCAGTTAATTAGTATTTAATTTTGTCATGCCTCCCCCACCCCTAGTTGGTCAGTGCTAATTCTTAGACTTACGTTAATTATTCTATAATGAACGGTCGAAGAGTATTTAGGGTAATAAATGTTTTTTTTTTTTAAGTTATCTTTTCACGAGGCTCAAATTAGAAAGAAAACTGGTTTTGATTATTCTAGATATGATTGATACCGATAACAATTTTCACTCATACTGCACCTGCTAAAATCTCTTCAACACGATATAACTGTTACATTTTCCTTCAGTGTCTTTAATTGTTTTGTTTTATTTGTATTTTTTACGTACTTTCCATGTTATTGTTTTTCGTCTAAATTACGAGTTTGTTTTGTGTCTCAAACGTTTTACTGTATATCGATCGCGATGCCTCCAGTGGAAAATCTTTCAACAAAAAGGGGGAAAAAAGATAGAGACTTACAACGCTAACATGTAGGGTTCGATTCCCACGAAAGACAAGTCCAGATAGCTCATAATGTAGATCTGCGCTAAAAACTAATAATTTTGAAATTAAATGCTCTTCCTATATTACCAGAAAGATACCACTTGCTACTAATAACCAATCAAAACGTTGTATTCCATATGGAACACACAATACTAGAGGGCAAACATTTGGTTCAGTAATCAATGTAGTTAAACAAACCTAAACCTTGTTCTATTTATGTACCTATGAATTTAGGGTTAAATAATCTATATAGTTAATCAAGCCTAGACCTTGTTCTATTTATGTAGCTATGAATTTAGGGTTTAATAATCTATATAGTTAATCAAGCCTAGACCTTGTTCTATTTGTGTAGTTATGAATTTAGGGCTCAGTAATATATATAGTTAATCAAGCTTAGACCTTGTTCTATTTATGTAGCTATGAATTTAGGGCTCAGTAATCTCTATAGTTAATCAAGCCTAGACCTTGTTCTGTTTATGTAGCTATGAATTTAGTGTTCAGTAATCTATATAGTTAATCAAGCCTAGACCTTGTTCTATTTGTGTAGTTATGAATTTAGGGCTCAGTAATATATATATAGTTAATCAAGCCTAGACCTTGTTCTATTTGTGTAGTTATGAATTTAGGGTTAAATAATCTATATAGTTAATCAAGCCTAGACCTTGTTCTATTTGTGTAGTTATGAATTTAGGGCTCAGTAATATATATAGTTAAACAAGCCTACGTCTTTTTTCTGTTTATGTAGTTATGAATTTAGGGCTCAGTAATATATATAGTTAAACAAGCCTAGTTAGGGCTCAGTAATATATATAGTTAATCAAGCCTACGTCTTTTTTCTGTTTGTGTAGCAGTGAATTTGGAGAGTATATTTTTAATATGTTTATTTTCATCATAAAACACTTGTACCTAGAGGGATTTCCTTCCATGAGGCAGGGGGAATCTTCCCCATAAATGTACTCCTCCCTTCACCTCCTATATTTTTTACAACGTTGAGGGCTTTATTACTATATAACTTTTTTGTGAAAGATGGAGCAATCTTAAAACTGAACTATTTTAGAAATAATTGTAGAACCTATTGAGGAATAGAACCATATCATATATATAGACATTCTGTACCTTCACGACTCACATTTAATCCAAATTAAAACGTACAGAAATAACGGCCAATGAATATATATATATATATACAAAGTCTTAATGTTATAGGACTGACGCGGGTAAGAATCTACTGTAAAACAACAAACCTGAAATCATTAGAGGAATGCCCCCCCCCCCCACAGTGGCGTAGCGGTATGTCTGCGAACTTACAACGCTAGAAACCGGGTTTTGATACTCGTGGTGGGCAGAACACAGATAGCCCATTGTGTAGCTTTGTTCTTAATTTCAATGAAACCCGATTCAGGTGCATTTACCCATAATGTCTAAGCCTAACTACATATTCTCTGTCTGCAGCCGATTATGGAAAGTTAGTTGCTTAGTAACAAAATCAAAGAAACAGTATACAACCCAACCTGAAATTAAACCTAAAGGTTTCACAATAAATATAAAGACGGTAAGGAGATAAAATACAATATTCAAAAAAAGTAAGAAAAACTAAAACAAAGTAAAACAATATATATATATATAAAAGATATTCGGTTTCACTGTTAAGAAAGACTTAATGTTACCTGCGATCATCTATCTTATTTCCTTCTTTTCCTTGTAGAACCTGTGCGCGTGTACGCCTCCATCCAATTGTATGACGTTTACGACCTAAATGAGGAGACCATGGTGAGATCAGTGTCTTTACTCTACAGTCATGTTGCTAAATAACTAATCTCAGTTGAAGAGAAACACCCACAATAACTTAACGATTCGCCAGAGTGAAGTCAATAAATAAATAGACCGATATTATGGAAAGTATCAAGATTTTTTTTTTTTTGAGTTTCTAATCATCCTACTAAGTTACATGTTCTAGAGTTTCTGTTAATGTGATTTACATGTAAACGTTTATTTTTAATATATTTAGTCTCTGTTTTAAGTAATACCATTTCTCTTGATTTCAGGATTTTTACCTACATCTGTATTTCATTGATATGTGGGAAGACACTCGACTTTTAGTGGACTGTGTTAAATCAGATCGACCAGTTAACCTGCCAGATCGTATAACCAATCAAATTTGGACTCCAAACATATACTTTGAAAACACCAAAAGTGGTTCTTTATTCACAACTTCTGTTCCAAATACAAATGTCAGAATTCTACCCGATAAAACCATTTTTCGAGATGCTCGGTAGGTGGAGTATGTTGATTCAGTATCTCTGCAGAAATAGGTTTATCCCGAAAAGAAAAAAAAAAAAACTCCCATAAAATTAAGAAACAAAAAAATAATAATAAAGAAATTTTTCCCTAAATTATCGAAAATTTTAGTTTACTGTTTCCTTTAGTTTTCTCTTGGTAATTGGGGGCTCAAACTGGCAACTATACGTAAGGGCCCTGGTATGGCCTGGTGTGTAGAGTAATTTACTCACAATCTGCGGGTCATACGTTCGAATCCCGTAATCGAACATGCTTGCCCTCTCAGTCCTGAGGGCGTTATAATGTGACGATCAGTCTCACTATTCGTTGTTATAAAGAGTAGCCCAAGAGTTGGCGGTGGGTGATGTTGACTAGCTGCCTCCCCTCTAGTCTATAACTTCAAAATTTGGGATGAATAGCACAAATAGCCCTTGAGCAGTTTTGTGCAAAATTCCATAGACAAACAAACACATACATAAAAATTTATTACTTCTGATTTTAAACGTATTACTAAATAATCATATGTATTATAGCTTTAAATCAGAATAAACTTAACGTTGCGTTTCTGTTTTCTACCGACTCCGTCACGACCTTGGTATATTCTTTCATTTGATATTTATAAGGAGTTTTAATTTATCCAATTATCATATTTGATTTTACTTTTTACCTTATTCTGTAAATTATTTCATTTTGTTATCCAATCAGAACAGGAACGACGACAGCAGCAAATCTTACGATGAAATAGATACTTTGATACCCCTCCCCTCCACCCAGTGGCTCAGGGGCTTGCGACGTTCAAAATTTGGTTTAGATACCCGTGGTAGACAGAGCACAGATAGCACATTTGGGCTTAGCAACAAACAAACAAAATATCTCTTTGAACTGACCTTTTACGTTTGCGTTTACGATTTGTTGTCTAGATAGAGGTCGCTTTGGTTCTTTCCTTTTTAATAATGTGTTAGGGTTCTTATAAATTTTGAATCACTTTGTATGTTAGCGTATTTTGATAATAATTTATTACTTTTGTCTCACTGAGCTGTCGGTTTATATATATATTTTTGTAGAATTTAGATATTTTTTTAATTAATGAAGAATATTTATGTACATGCCGACATGATGACACACTTATTATTTTACTTGTACTAGTTAACTCACGTTTAATTTATGAACGTGGATCTATCTCTCACTCCACAGCCAATCAAAGAAAAGCCAAAGAGCGGACGGCCGTGAGAGCTCCACCTGACAAATTATATTCAGTCTATAACTTTTCAGTTATTTATTGTTTGAAGTGACGTTTGTAACACAGTATCCAATGAAACGACTCTATTTTACTCAGGGAAGTGCTTGATAAAATGAAATAAAATATATATGTTTTTAGTTTGTATAAACTTTTTATTCCTATCAGTTTAAAATTAATAAAAGTATAAATATTAGATTCGTTTCTTTACGGATGCTCCCAAGTTTCAATAACAAGACACGATAATAATATAAAAATCATTAAAATTAAAAAATGTATAATGTATTTTCTGTTTCATTTCAATTATCGACAAAACCTACCTGTAGGATAATACCCTTTATAGGGTCTCTTTCCGCGGGGGAAACCGTCAAATGTTAAGTCAATAGGGATGGGGTGTTAATTAAGTACAGACGTACATTTAAACATGCCAAGTTTATAATATTTATAGCGATTTCGTGTTTGACCTCAGACCTTATTAGGCCAGCTCACTACAGCTAACGTGATTACACATTGTTAAAAGCTGTTTGCATGCGTGTATTCTTGAAATATGACTTTACGATCCGAGAAAGAACGCTAGCTCCCGTCCTCCAGTAAAATAAGTATAAAACGTTGTTGGCAGTTTGTAAACTATTATTAATTTATTTCCATGTTTCTCTCGCTTATGCTATTAACTATATTTAGGCCTGCCTCACCCGAGACGTAGAATGGATTAATTCATGTGATGTTTGTTAGGATTTTCATTTCGATCCTTATACTCGTTTTGACACGAGGTCATAATTTCTAAAGTAACTTTTGTTTGTGGCTTCAATCTCCTAGTTTCCAAGGAGACATAAACACAACATATTTAATGCATCGACCACGTTTTTCTTAGTTAAATTAATCACTGCTGTGTTGTTCTTCATCGATGTTTATCTTACCTTAGATACCTTCTTCATGTTAGCTGCCCTATGAACCTGAAGGATTATCCGATGGACAAGCAAACTTGTCAGCTGAGGACTGGTTTATGTAAGTAGACACTGGTGCCATCTGCCGACTTTTACTGTAAGTCGGTTGTCAGTAATAATGTGTTTAATATTATTGGATAGATAAATGATATTTGTCCCTATGTTAATTAGAATCAAATATATCCTGGTGGATAAACTCGTAAGTTTCATATATTAACAGGGAAATTACTGAACTTCGTTATTCTTTGTTATGCGAGTCGGAGATCGTACCATATAGTTATGTAAATAGTTTAACTGTTGTGTATTTCGTGTGACTGCTACACTTTTTGGACAACTGTGTATAGCGTAGCTACTGTATGTGTAGTGTATTTTGTGTGACTGCTACACCTTTTGGACAACTGTGTATAGCGTAGCTACTGTATGTGTAGAGTATTTTGTGTGACTGCTACACCTTTTGGACAACTGTGTATAGCGTAGCTACTGTATGTGTAGAGTATTTTGTGTGACTGCTACACCCTATACACAGTTGCCCAAAACGTAGCTACTGTATGTGTAGAGTATTTTGTGTGATTGCTACACCTTTTGGGCAACTGTGTATAGTGTAGCTATTGTGTGTGTGTGTGTGTTTGGAGTACTTGCTGTGTGTGGTGAACTTCTGTGTGTATTTTGTATGATCCTGACATGGATTTTTAACCTTTTCCGTGTTAGGTTTTTAGAAATAAACTCACAAAAAGGTTTTTGTTATTATTTTGCTGTTTGATAGCCTATTGTAATACGTGATAACATGCGAATAAATTCGGGCAAATAATTAAAAATACGGCGAGAAATGGTTTGTCCGAATTAACTCGGGCAAATATTTTTTGAAACATAGATTTATGGCGGGAATATCATGAAAGAGGTTCGATTTCTGTAAAAATAAAATACTCAAAATTTAATTACTGAGAATAATCAGTTTTAGAATGAAACGTTTTAGTGAATTCAAATTAATCAGAATTTAACTGAAATCGATTTATATATATATATAATATATATATATATATATTGCAATAGTCTACAAAAGAGAAAAAAATTTAACCGAAGATTACTAACGCTTTAACAGAAAAACCTTTTTTTTGTTTGTTTCTTTTAGAAATTAATATAAAACTTTTAACTGTGTAGGATATGTTCTTCTTGTTTTTGTATTAAATATATTTTAACAAAGAAACTCCAATAATTATATTACTTGCTAATAATGTTTCTTTAAATAATCAATATTACTCTTAATAACAGACTCGTACCCAGATGACAAAGTGCTCATTAAATGGACAAATGAAAGCAGAGGGCGCTACGATTGGATACCCAGCCTAAAGCTAATAGGGAGCGGGGAGCTCCCCGAGTATAAATTGGTCAAAATCGTACAAGAAACCCAAGTGGTGACCTGGAACATGGGTAATGTTTCATTGTAAAATCCTTCACGTTAATACTAATTATATAAGGAGTGTTAGGAGAAATAAGGACAGTCGATGTTTTAATATATAAATATAATAGTACTGTCTGTTGTCTGTCCATGTAACTACTTCACAGGGTGTGAATGGATCTTCACCAAAATAGGTATGGGGGGTTCATTAGATCCATGGGGAGATACATTTTGCGTTTTTTTTTTTTTCATTTTTTACCACTACTATGAAAAAGTTATATATATAATATCTGCAGGTTACTCGTGGATTTTTCAGTTACTTATTGTTTCTTGAATCCACCATGTGGAGCTGTGTTACATGTTGTATTCTGCTTTCCTTCATATTTTGAAACTAAAAAAAAAAAAGCTTTGATTGTTTAGTATCTATTTAGCCTAGTTAAAAGTTAACAGGTTCGTTACAACTAGTAGTTGTCACCATTTTAATTATCTTTTTTTTTTCTCCACAACAGGTAATTTTTCAACCTTAATTGTCCACTTCACCTTTTGTCGCCATCTAACGGGCTACTTAGTTAATACTTATATTCCAAGTACCCTGGTGGTCGTCATGTCGTGGTTGTCTTTTTGGTTAGACCTAAACGCTGTTCCAGCACGTGTAACTCTCGGCGTAACGTCCTTGCTGACCCTCGTGACTCAAATTGTCCAATCACGAAGCGCCATTCCTCCCGTGGGTTACGTCAACGCCCTGGACATTTGGCTCTTCGTATGTCTTAATCTCGTGGTATTAACGTTACTTGAGTATGCCATTGCCTACAATATTTCTCTGAATGACATTCTCCCAAATAATCAAGGAAATTCTGCGATCACAAGTATTTCCAACAACAAGAAACAGGTCTGTATATACAATTTATTTTATATTCTTGTTTTCATGTATTATTCTGTTTTATTAAATCCCATTAAAGAATATTTTCGAAGTCCTTTAAAAAAAAAAAGAAAGAAATTTCAACAAACACGGCCATTACTTACAATAAATTAGGTATAAAATATACCACGTGCTCTGTAAAACGCCTAACTCCGCATGTATAAACGTCTGGCGAATAAAACTTTAGCATACCATATTATATTATACTTTTTTTCGAATATATATATATATATATA